CGATCGGTGTATTTGTGGGCATCGAGTGATCGCACGTCCGATGAGTGACTCAAATGCGGTGGGAGTGGAGGCGCCGGACGGCGAGTGCTGTGGAGAGCCATACAATGGCGGCTCTATTGAGACTCAGAGCTCCACTCAAAGCGACAGCAGTTTGCATGACATGAATGATGTGAGCGAACAGTCCGGACAGTCGGCGCCCGTCTCCCCCAACGCCACCCCCAAGAGTGCCGCCAAACGCCGGGGTAGACCCCAGGGCTCCACCAAAAAGGAGAAATGTGTGCTTCAAATGGTCGATCAGCTCATACTCGACGACGAAGATCTGAGTCGACGTCGAAGCAGTCGTCTCAAGACAATTGAGGCCCGAAAAGGACAGGAGAGGGAGAGGTTTGCCGACGAGACCAGCGGTGACTCCAGTATTGTGAACGCCTCCGACCCTAACGAGTCTCAGCACTCACTCATCGACTCGTCCTCCGTGTCCACCAAATTGAAGAAGAAGAAGAAGTCCAAGAAGAATAAGAATAGGGATAAAGACATGGATTGTAAACATAAGGGCAAACATAAGAAGAAGTCCAGTGAAGACAAACACCACTCATATGATGACCACAACAGTGATAAGTGTAAGACACAAGACATTTATAACAATAAGCACTCGTCATCGCAGGACAGCTTCACGGCTCCCCTCCCGCCCTCCCATTACGCCAACATTCGCCACAACCAGTCGTCGGCGCAGTCGTCTAATGCGGACGACTCGTCGCCGCGACCCGAGAAAGTCAAGTCTCGGTGGCGGCGATGCAGTGAACTCGAGTGGGGACACGAGTTAGGCGCAGGCGAGCACCAGAAGCCAAACGCACAGTCCGTTCCCATTGTCATACCGAAGGAGACTGAACCTCACCCTCAGTTCGATGCCATCGACGAGAATATCTACTTATTTGAAAGGTTTGACACATTTTGAGTACTTTTGGCATTAGATTTGATTAAATAATGTGAAAAACAACACAATTTAGGCGCAAATCTAAGAGTAAGAAAGAGACGCGAAGAATGGTTTGCGACTGTATTCTCACCAAAGAGGAGAGAGTGAGGGGTTTGATTGGATGCGGCGAAGACTGTCTCAATCGGATGCTTATGATTGAATGGTATTTGAAATATGAGCTGAAATTTCCATTAAATGTATGTTAATTAAAATATTTACTAACGATAATCGTATTGAATGACAAAATAGTGGTTCCCGTTGTTCATTGGGTGATCACTGCGCCAACAAACGCTTCCAAAAGGTATTACACGACTGTGTGTTGTGTTTGAAGTGCTATAGGATTTTGTTAATCAATATTTTGTACGATAGCGTCAATCCGCAAAAGTGGAGCCCTTCCGGACCGCTAGAAAGGGATGGGGTTTACGGACGTTAGAGCCCTTACAACCGTAAGACTCGGTCGCCAATCGTGCCCTTGATTTCAATGTGTTTTTTGTAATGCCATTAGAAATACATTTATTATGGAATATATCGGCGAAGTGATAGATCCGCTCGACTTTCACAACAGAACCCAAAAGTATTCAAAGGAGAAGAGAGAACATCACTTCTTTATGGCCCTCAAGAGCGATGAGATAATCGACGCCACCGTCAAAGGCAATATCACACGATTCGTGAACCATAGCTGCGATCCCAACAGCGAAACACAAAAAGTAAGCCTTTGTTTGGCCTATAAATGACTTTTTGTGGTTATTTTGTATAACAAATGTTGTGTTTGAATGTGTGGTGCAGTGGACTGTGAACGGAGAGCTTAGGATCGGGTTCTTCACCCAACGCTTCGTTCAGGCGGGAGAAGAGATTACGTTTGACTATCAGTTCCAACGATACGGGTATTCAGTAATGAGTTTTCAATAGTTTGACTTTTTGTATTGATTGGCATTTTGGTTAAAATTATAGAAAAGAGGCGCAAAAATGTTATTGTGATGCAATCAACTGCAGGGGTTATATCGGCGCCACAGAAAACGCTAACATATTGACTGACGGCTCAAAGATTACCACAAAATTGCGCGAAGAATTGGATGAATCGCTAGAAGATGAGGAGGTTCTTGAAGATCTCGCCGTAAGTTTTAATTGCTTTTTAAATATACAAAAAACTTAAATTAAAGCAATAAAGCAGTCGTTTGTATTGAGATTTGTTCCCTAAATCCGGAATTAATTCTTTTCACAGTTCTCTACTCTCTTATCAAATAAACGAATTATGGATTTTATTATCTCTTTTGGATATTATTTCGCGAATTTAATTACCAATAAAGGACTCACTGTTGAGAGCTATTTCAACAGCCATTACGTTAATCCAATCCGAAAGACATTACAAATAATTTTTTTATTTTTATACAACGACTGCTTTATTGCTATAATTTTTATGACACACGAGAGTCAAACCGTGTGTGAAAAACACTGACATTAATGTCGTTCATTGGCTTTGTTTGACAGCTCGAGGAAGAGATCGCTAAACTGTCAGAAGGCGGAGGTCTCCGCAATCGACAGCAGGTCTTAATGTTGGCCCGACTTATGGTTCGCGCCGAAGACCCGGCGTCAAGGATTAAGTTAATCAATATAATTAAGGGAACGGTAGAAATGGCATATTTGCGACTCCTTCTCGACTATCACGGCTTGCAATTGGTGTGGAGTTGGATGGTTGAGGTGGAGGACTGGGAGCTCAAGGCAGCCATTTTGGAACTATTAGAGATATTACCGATTCCTAACAAAACAATGCTAACCGATAGCAAAGTCTTTTCAGTGGTCGAGCGTTGGTCTCAACAGACTAACGAACCACTCATTCAAAGCATCGATACTCCGATGGCGTTGTTATAGAGATATTACCGATTCCTAACAAAACAATGCTAACCGATAGCAAAGTCTTTTCAGTGGTCGAGCGTTGGTCTCAACAGACTAACGAACCACTCATTCAAAGCATCGATACTCCGATGGCGTTGTTATCTTCGGTATTACCAGCAATTGTGGAACCAATTGATGATACAGTTGTGGCCCCGTCTTTGGAATTAATTGATGGGACAATTGGAGAGAAATCTTCGGTACCAATGGATGAGACAATTGTGAAACAATCCTCCGAACCAATCGATGAGACAATTGTGAGGCAATCCTTGGAACCAATCGATGAGACAATTGTGAGGCAATCCTTGGAACCAATCGATGAGACAATTGTGAGGCAATCCTCGGAACCAATCGATGAGACAATTGTGAGGCAATCCTCGGAACCAATGGATGAGACAATTGTGACGCAATCTTCGGAACCAACTGTTGAACCAATGGACGAAACAATTGTAACCCCAGAAGACAAGCAAAGCGTTGAAGTCAAGGCCGAAGTTTTACCAGAAAGCGTCGTCTGTGATAGTAGTGGCCAGACCTCAGATGTCATTCCCATTAAAAGCGAACCCACGGAACAAACCTCAGAACAGTTGGTGACCACTGAAGGCACAGACCCTT